TGGAAAAATGTCATTACTCATTCATAATTTATTATATTTTGCATAATTTGAAAAAAAAAAATTCTTACGATTTTAGGACAACAAGTTAATTAAATCGTTAAATAAAACTAAGTTAAGACGAAAATTAAAGTAAGTTAGACGAAAATACTTTTGTCTCAACTTACGTTAATTTTCTTTGATATGTGGTATTTATTTATCCGCTTGAAAAGGATATTGCATAATCTGAAAAGAATTTTCGGAATTCACAAACAAATGTCGCAACGAATGTTGCGTTGAAATGTGCGAAGATTTATAGGATCTGAAGGTAACTAACCTTTGAAATATGTAATAAGGGAGAAGCTGGTCAAATTTGATTGATGAGGATTAGAAAAACTTAATTGTTCATTGAAAATTCCTATGTCCAATCGAAAATTGTGATCTAGAGACATCGAATTTTAATTGTCTCTATAGAAAGTATAATTGTTTAACTTGGATTAAAATCTTGGAAAGACGGATATTTTGGATCACATTTTTAATAAAAATTTGAGACAAATAAAAGAAAATAATAACAGTTATCAATTCCATTAATGGTTGATTTGGTTTTTGCTAAACTTTTTCGAAAACCAAACAAAAACTTATCAGATCATACAGAGTGATGTTAATTCGAGAGTCAAATCGACAAAATCTTCCTTTTTCGAGGATTTTTGATACTGTACAGTACTACTATAATCGGAGTTAGATTCAACTCGTGTAGTGTGTTAGAATGGCTACTCTGAGAAATACAAAAAGTAGAAACATGAATTCTGTTAATCTACATAGAATTATTGATATAGATTGTGTTATTGATAATCTTCTCCAACTCGGTTGTATAGCGGCCGGATGGACGAGCAGTCAAGGTGGCAGCCCACCGCCCTGGGGACCTGGGCTCGAATCCGAACGAGTCGAAAAATCCCCAGGAATTTTTCGGGGGTGGTCCGTTCGGATAAGTCGGGCCCCATCCCTCATCACCCGGCAGCCCCATTGTAGGCCTGGCCGAACCCATAATGGGCTTGAAAAAAGAGGCTCTCTTAATGCCCACAGGGCGGAAAGAGTTAAAAAAAAATAGGCTGTATAATTAATTATTTCTTCATAGGTTTAAAGCGTTGTACTGTACCTAATGCTTCTTGTTTATTGTTGCTATACTGTATTATTATGTGCCATTAATAGAATACTAACTATAAAATATTAATCATTACGTCTGTTTAAAAAAAGTTAAGAAAATATCTAGCAATGAGTTGCTTAAATTGCGTGTGGCGCCATCTGTTATAATATTTAATTATGAAAACTTTATATATTTTGAATTATTATAAAATGGCAAAAGCTTAATTTTTATGGGTAAGATTGAGTTTTATAAAAAAAAAAATTTATAAATGCTTATAAAGACTAAAATCTTCATTAAATTGGACTCTACTCGAGATATGACACAAGATCTTTCTTTGTCTCCCTGGACTTTTAACCACTAAAGTTTAATAGCAACAATCCCCGTAATACACAAACCTCTCTGCAAAATTTCAGAAAGTTTTGACAAAAGGCTCGTGAGTTAGTAAGCTTCAAAGTAGGTGAACAAAATCATGCCCCTCACTTACAGGTTCCTCAATCTATACTTACAAGTTAATTAAAAAAAATCCAGTTTTTTCGTTTGTCGACATTTAAAAGTTTCCTGAGTCCAAAAATGTAAAAATCTTAGGGGTAATTTTTTTTTATCAATCTCCATACTTTCCTTTTGTTATATATTTTGTTATAACAGAGCCAGGAAAGTAAAAAAGTATAATGCTGTGATTGTAAATAATTACAATTTACTAATGCTTATTTTGTAAAATAAACTTACAGATTAATATATTAATACATTATATCCAGTAAAGTATCCTGCTTACTTATTTTTACTGTTGCTTATTGGATTTTACATATATCTTAATAGCGTGTGGTAGTTTGATTTTTATTGTTTTTATTACTTTATTTAAAAAAAAAATTGCTAATGTCGAATATATATTTTGCAGCCTGAAGAGGAAATGTTTTAATTCCGAAATGTGTAGAGAATATTTTCGTTTACCAACTGAACTTTAAATGTGATTAAAAGAGACTTGGTTATAAGACATATTCGGGTTTACCGATTGAATAATCTGTAATCTAAACTGGAACACAGTAGGTTTTCTGCATTATATGATATAAAGTCTGTCTTAGTGATTTACAGTAGTTTCTAACTCGTTGCATAGATTCTACTCTTCTCATTTTAAACAATTTTTATTGCAAAATTGTTTTCATGTAATGGAGTAGCCGGCCAGAAGAATCAAGACCAGGGATCGAATCAGGGGAATTGTAAATCTCGAGAAATTTTTCAGGGGTTTTCAGGAGACGAAACCCGGATAAGTCGAATCACATCACTCGCTTCCTCGGAAATTTGACTCAGTTAAAAAAATTAAAAGGAATAAAAGAAATTACACGGAAAAAATAGAAATTTTATAATTATACTGTATAAATACATTTGATTATTAAATTGCTTTTCTTTTAATAAATGTTTTAGTGACAAAATAGAGAAATTAACTTATCTACATTAAAATAAAAGATTCAAATAATTTTATTTTGAAATGATCAAGATATGTCATTTATCTTGATCATTTAATAATCTGAAGCTATTAATTAATGAAGAATGCCGATGAAGTCACAAATTACAAATTCTACTTAATAATAAAAATATAAATAATTTTACTTTGTATTAACATATTTAATTTTATTATCATTATCATTATTAGTACAGTAGTTATAATTAAAATTATTTTTAACGAAGCTATTTTTGTAAAATTATGTAATTTTTAAAATGATTTAATGGAGTTAATCGAGGATTAGAATTTGAACTAATATATCACATAAAAAATGATTTAAAAAAGTATTGTACACGATGCTAAATTGTGAAGAAATTATTTAGCTTTTCAGAATGAACGTAAAGGCAGACGACGGTTTTTGTTACTGCCATGAAGACTCTTTCAAAATGGCTTCGGCCGCTTCGGGTCTGGGCGGTCTGTCGTGTGGCCAGCTAATACGGACCTTTGAAAGACTGTTCGAAGATGCTCAAATAACAGGTGAATTAAAACTGAGTGGAAAAAAACTGAAGGAGTTTCCTAAAGTTGCTTGTAAATATGATTTGAGCGATACCGTTGTTGTGGGTAAGTAACTTTCAACTTATGCCATCATTATATCATTCATTGCACGATAACTGATTACTGATATGTTAATCCTTAGCATTATTTGTAAAAGAGAACCATAATACGAGAAATAAACTTTAATACAATACAAAATAGAGTCCGGAATTGCTCGAAAACGTGGTATAATTAAACGAAATCGGTGTATTTCACTATATAATCTTAAGTAAATAACGACTATACGTTTTTCTCGTTTCTTAATTCGCATTTGATTATTGAAATATGGCATTGAAATAAAAAAATACATTATTAGAAGTACTAATAAAAATTATATGTGACCCAGTTCTTAAAATTGTCTATCAATGAACTCTATTATTCACTAATTTACAGTCTACTTACAATAAAGTATTTATTTTCTAAATTAAATTGTAAGTAGCTAAATAATATATTCTCAATTTTTTATTGCTGAAATGTATTTATTATATAAAGGTCATATATAATTGAAAGTTGAAAAAATTGAAAATACAAAAAAAAAATTTGATTTTATAAAATAAAAAGATGGTTTAAGCTATTAATTAAAATGTCGTTAATAATAATAAAATTATTTTTATAAATCTCAATATATCATTCTGTTTTAAGTGTAGTTCTATTGTTTCCCAGATTCTAAGTGTCAAATGTTGTAACACACCAAAAATTAATAATAATAATACTGTAATAATAATGAAATGGATGATTACAGTATTTATATTTTGAATTTATGAGAAATTTGAATTACCAAATTTAGTATTAATAAAGTGATTAAATTATTAGTGCCTATATATCAAAATTATAGAATCAAAAAATCTATATCATTCTTTTAAGTTTGAATACTAACTAAAGTAATTGTATATAGTTTAAGTCAAGTATATTTAATTCATTTTTTTTATTATACTTGTCAATAAACCTTTAACTATCCAGCAATAAAAATGTTTAATAAAAACATTTTCAACCGTTTTTAAACGGCCATCTTCAGTTGAACCAATATTAAAAAAGAACACTAAAAAAGAACGCATGAAATACAAATTAAACAGAAACCAAAAATGCACATGCGTAATTCATTGGACTTGTGTCTTCTGAAAATCTGCAAATAACATAAAAATAATAAAGCTGCCAAAAATAGGGGGGAATATATGTTGATTACAAGGTGTTAATCTGCATTATTGTAAAAGGATTTCCGGGCATAAGATAACCCTTCTGCATCTCTATGATTAATGCATCCCTTATTTATGTGTGCCTTGTGTATCTCTATCTTTTCAAGGTGTTTCACTGCCTGTCTGGAATTCGAGGCTCTAATGATCGAGGCAGCTTTATTATTTTTATGTTATCTGCAAGTTATTTATAGATTTTCAGAAGACGCAAGTCCGACGAGTTATNTACAAGTATGTACTGTATTTACAGTACATGCATTCGTAAATTTAGATTACTTTTTTTTGTACTATATTAAAAACTAAAATTTATTTGTTTGTAAGCTTAAAATACATTTTTATTAACCATATATTATTAAAAATGCATTAATAAATAAAATACAGAACCAGGAATGGTAATTTACGGTTTAGCCTAGTGATAAGTAGATTCGGAGACAAGTAAATTCGACTTATGTCGTTTTTCGACTTAAGTCGTTCTCCTGGAACCAATTACTGACGTAAGGCGAGGTATACCTGTATATGATGAATTATATAACTAGAATTACTTATATAGTATTAAAAGAAAAAAATTATTTTATATTCATCAGTTGAGGATGCCAGATGTTAATACAGTTATTTTATTGTTTTGATCTTTTAGCAAAATTTTTGTAGTTAAGTAATATTTTTTGGGTTTTTTTTAATTAATTAAAGATTTGACAAAAAGTTTAATTACAGACTTGTAGAACAACAAAATCATATCATTTACTGTTTCTGTATGTTTTTTATAAACTTAGTATCTTCTGAACAAAGTAAAGCACTTTTTGTATCTTGATCAATTAATAAAATTAAATAACAAAAAATGATATTAACATATTTTAAATTCTGAGAAAAATGCCCTCTTTTTTTTAGTTGTCAACAAGATATGATAGATATTGTGTATTTTTGTAATTGATAGTTATGTTAGTTGTTGTGTCCTAGTGCAGGGATGGCAAACCTTTTTCTGTTTGCATGCCATATTGTAAGCATACTTAGCTTTAAATATGTTTATGCATGCCAAAGTTTCAGACTTCGAATAACGATATTTAAAGAAATTAAACAAATACGCTTTAATTAGAATAAATGTAAAAAAGCTGATTGAAGAAAGGATGATCAGGTGATAAACCGAAAAGATGATTGAAAAAGACAGAATCGTACGATACATTACGTGCCAGAGATTTCTCCTTACGTGCCACAGGTTTGCCACCCCTGTCCTAGTGCAATCCTAGAAAGAGATGTTTTTAGTAAATTTTTCAAACCTGTATATGGTGCCAGAAAATTATCTGTACAACTGCTATCTGTTATAATAAACAAATTAACAAGTATAAAAATTAACTGTTGTGTCATTTTAAAGAGAAACTTGTTAATTTTTTCTGTATAAAGTTTTTTGTGATTGAACCATTCTTCTTTGATAAATCAACAGTGATCTCCAATATCTACCGGGACATGTTGAAACATTTTGTCTATCTGCAACTAGAAGAACTGCTTCCATGCATCATTTTTTCAACAAGATTATGTAGTACCACGGCATTGGGCCTTGAGTGTCCATGATGTCAACCTTCTGATTTGGCCTCAATGTGGAAATGTTTGCAGTGTACTGTACCTGTAGTATTTGGAGTTTCAACTGGATATTTTGTAAATCACTAACGATGTACATATCAAATGTTTGTAATATTACTCATTTCATAAAAGAAACTTTGGAAAATACAGATTTTAAAAATTCTTGTTTAATAATTCTACATGTACTGTACCATCATAAATTTCATTAAAGGATAACATTGTACAGATAATTTTTGGACATCCTATGTATGTATGTATATATATACAAGTATGCCTTGTACAACACAGTACTTTTACAACATGGTTTTGCTCTAACACAGAAAATTGCAGATATCCCCTATACAATATGACATCCAGTTTCACTCTAATATAGAAATGGAAATCCTCCATACAAAATATATATATCTATCCCTTGTATAACACAGTAGTAGTTATGTTCTGGAAAAGTGTATTGTTAAGCAAATTCATGCTATATGAAACAAATGACTAATACAAAACATAGAGTTATGTTCCAGAAGTTAGTAACAAAAAAGAATAGTATACTTTTGCTAAGAGAAATGTTTATTAAAACAATTGATAATTTATTTTGAATTGATGATTAATTAACTGTCACAATTAAAACTTGTGTATTATGCGTTAATATTAATTTCAGTTAAACGAGGGTATTTTCTTTTTTATAAAGTGTTATTGCCATCTCAGCATTTTTGTTGATCTTGATTATATATATATATAATTAGATGATATTTTATAATGTGTAAAGATGACCCAAATTTCAAAACATGAAAAGCTTTATTTTTTATAGTTTGATTTCATATTAAATTTAATCATTCTTATGAATAAGTCTGCAAAACATTATTTGATCAGTCATTCTAGATCAGTGTTTCTCAACCTCTAACAAATCGTCGCCCCCTTCAATAAAATCGTTACATAGTATCGCCCCTTCATTTCAAAATTCCGATGCTGATGGCCAAGGCTAACACCAAATTCGTACTGCATTGAATAGACTAGTGACTAGTATAATGTTGTTTGTTAATTATTGTATGTTATAACAAATAAAATATCTAATTATTCTTAATATAATGTTTTACTATATCGCCCAGAAAATTGTTTTTTGCCCTCCCAAAATATAAGTTGTTACTAATAGCGCCTTCAACATGGAAAAACACCCACTTGGTGGCGATATTGCCCCCGTTGATAAACACTGTTCTAGATTATTAAGAACCCCATAGTTATTGATTAATAAAATATGTTGTTGGATTACAAATGTTTCTATTTAGTATTTAATGTATTACAGTAAATAATTTTTAATATAGCATTGATAGACAAAGAAAATTAAAAATATATGTATTGCTTTCAAAATTATTTAATAAAAAATTGAATTTAGTTAATTTGTTGAAAAGAAACAAATAGAAAAATTTATTGAATATACCATTATTATTTAAGAAATAAACAATTTAAAAATGAATAAGTAGTTAGATGCAATCTTCAAAAATTTATATTTAAAATGTATATTATTTAACCTTAGAAATTAGTTTTAATTAAATCTTATTTATATAAATTTCTAAGATATATGTATATACTGTAATTTATTGGGATAATATTAGTGTTAATATTTATAGCATACAAACATAAAAAATAAAGACTCTACTTTGTTGAAAATGTTTGTATAATACTGAATGACATTCTAGATCAGATAAGAAAAGTTTTTCTGAAGAGGTTTTTGAACCTAATTTTGAGTTTTTTTGAAAAAAATATTGAACTAAAAATATATCTTTAACATATTTGCAAAAAAATAAAAAAGTATTCAATTTTAAATTAAATAATTTTATGTGCTGTTATTATTTAATATGTTACTCTATTAGAAATTCTATTGTATTCCCCCCTTTTAAATGCTTATAAGCAAAATAAAAGTTTTTTTTATATATAAAAATTTTGCACATTAAAATAAATATTTGACGTTTGTTATTGAAATTTTGTGTTAGAGTATATATAAATATATATAACCTGTAAAATGATATTTAGAATTAAATGATTTGGTAAATATTGATTAAAATGGATATTCTTAATCTCTATAATTTTTTTTTATAAAAGAGATATGAGGAGCATATGACCTATTATCTCTTATTTTTTAAAAAATTTTGCAATTTTTTTATTAAATGTTTCATCAAATCATGATTTAGTATCTGTAAATCTTAACTTTAATTAAAATTTATTTGAAGTAAATGTTAATTTTCAAAATTGCTTTATGAAATAAATTAAAAATTA